AACAAGGTTTTGTCATCATCAGTTACAAACCCTTGACAAAACGTTGTACTTTTGCTGTTATGTTAAACTTATATTAAAGTTTTTCTTCATTACCCATTCAAGCCGTCTCCGGCCATTATGAGGCTTATGAAGTGTAGCGCCATCTGTTGAATGGCGCCACACAAAAAAAAGTTCACACTTTGGGAATTCAAAATTCAGACAATTAGAAATATAACTATGGTATGTGCAACAACCATTTCTTTACAACATAACACAATTTTGAATAAAAGTACTCCTCTCAAACAAGAACACGATTTTCACTAAGACTGTACATAGGGGTTTGATTAATAATGGCTGGAGACGGCGTGAATGGGTAATGAAGAAAAAACTTTAACACACGTTTAACATAACAGCATATGTACGAGGTTTTGTCATCATCAGGTGACAAAATCATGTCGAAACGTTGTACATTTGCTGTTATGTTAAACTTTTGTTAAAGTTTTTCTTCATTACCCATTCAAGCCGTCTCCAGCCACTATTAGTCTCAAAGTCGGTTCCTCGTCATCGAATAGGGGTTTGATTATATCTTTATTGATGTAATTTTTAAATGTAGTACTGAGAAAACGTTTTCCTAAAAAACTTTTCTGTTTTCAATAAAGGGTAGCACTTTTAATACACAAAAACAATACAGTTTATGTCAGTCAAATTTATGAAAATGTTCAGCTCTGTTGAGTCATTTTGATGCAATGAGTTTACATACAAATGACTAAAGAGTTCAATCCGAACGCTTTTCCCGTGCAGTACTTCTGAGAAAAAATCCTTTGTTAGAAAGTGTTCACTTTTCTACATTTTTTTTTTATCAGTGAGGTATAAATACTACGTTTAGTAATTACTAGCACAAACAGCTGCCCGTAGGGCGGCGTTTCTACTAGAAATAACGATGACGCTAAAGTTTCCGTATTTGTAACAGTAAAAAGACACAACTAAATTTTTTTTAAATAATGCGCTCTCCAAGTCTCAGTTTGGAATTTAATTATGAAAAATACAGTATATTTCTCTAGTATACTCATTAACCATTATGAATTTTAGAGTTATAATTTATAAATTTGGTCGTTTTCAAGAGAAAGTTCTAACTTTCGAGAATGATGTTACCCAAGGTAACTTTGGGAGGTTAGAGTCAACTTGGTTGTTATAAGTATAACAAATTGTATCAGATTCTTTATTAAAGTCTATATTACAAGAAGATCACTAATTAATTAAAAGTCATAAATGGTATGTATTTTTAACTTTTGTTATTATACATTTACAGAGAGAATTATTACAAGCAGTCGTGGCCGAGTGGTTAAGGCGACGGACTAGAAATCCGTTGGGATCTTCCCGCACAGGTTCGAATCCTGTCGACTGCGTAAAATTTATTTTTCAGCCAAAATGTGTCTCATTAAATTTTTATACAACATACCGAACCTTAATTGTGTTTATTTTGTTAACAATTAATTATGTTCTGGTAATATTTCATTTTAACACAATAACGTGTCTAAATCGATTTAGTATTCAATTATTAATATAATTTAAGTATTTGGCCCCACAGCGGTATGTCTGCGGACTTACAACTCTAGAATCCGGGTTTCGATACCCGTGTTGGGCAGAGCTAAGATAACCCATTGTGTAGCTTTGTGCTTAATTGCAAACAAACATACGTATTTTTACTGACGAAAGATGTATGCCCGAAACGTAGATAAAAACAGGAAATTTTTAGTATAGACGTGTGTTTTAAGTTTTCCAATATATCTGGCAAAACTTTTTCCATGTCTTGCAGTCTTTTTCTACAGTATAAATATTGTTAACGAACATAGGGCACATAATTGACATCTCTTTAATGGAATAAAAAATTACATAATAAGCATACAAATTTCTAACATTATAACCACGTGTTTTGCTAAGGGATTTTTTTTTTAAAGAACAATATAAATGCATAATTGAGGGCAAACAAGATAATTCATAATAGTTTATTCACGACCATGGTTTTGCCAGTAAAGACATGCCATAGTCGTGAATAAATGATGTATTTGTGAAACGTATTTGTCTTGTTTTTGCTGAATTCTGTAAATTTTATGGAGTTTCACCGACAGTTTCAAATATAATTATCCAATAGTTTTGGTTTTTTAACAAATCGAGAATGTTATAAACGATGTTAGTATATTTATATTATCTAAATAAACATAAGTCAGAAACTTAGTTCGATTAGATTAATTTGCACATGTGTCACAAAGCAGGCTGTTTACTTACAATTTAATTTTAATTTCCGATCAAAGAAAGTTACCTCCTTAGATCAAAAATAAAAATCAATTGGATAATGAATGTAGCTAATTAATACATATTGTTCTTACATGCTTACTTATAAAGATTAGAATGTATTGTTTCATCATTTGGTTGCCCTGGCAGTTAGGGATATTTTCGGCTGCAGACACAATAATATTGAAATAGGTTTGGCCATCTTAAGAGATCTAGATTAATCCTAAATCTACATACTAAGCTAACAGTGCAAAATAACCTTTATAATAAAAATACGATAATAAAACTAAATATATTAAACACTCTAATTACAGTCTCCAGGTTAATAAAATGACAAAGATATAAATAAAAGTACTTACTATAAAATATAATTACAAAATTTTTCTTTTTTAATTTCTTTCTCACTTGTGAATACAATAGTCAAATAAACAGAAATGAAAACGATGGGAATAATAACTCAGAATTTATTTGACACACATTCGAGTCATCAAAGTTACTAAATACTAATTAAATCAAGAAACAAATACAAAATATGAAATTTATAAGGTACCATTTATATACATGTGTGTCACGGTGTGTGTGGCATATATATTATATATAACAACATCTAGATTGCTATAAATTTGGAATGTTTTATACAAAATTGCTAAATGAGACCATTCAGCAGGAAGAGTTCAAATGCTTAGATTTTTTTTAATCTGTAAACCCCTCTTGTTTATAAATTAAGCAGATTTTTACTTAGCGGTGGAAGCTTTGCCTAATTGTCTTTCCTTTTACCAATTCAAAATTATATAGATGGCTGGCGCAGTTGGCTCTAGCGTAGTCAGTGCGAATTTGCCTAAACAGATTAAACTTTGGGATTCCTAACTTCTTACAGACGTTGATTGTCGGTCAGGTCTAGTGTCAGAGGGATAGACTTGAATTGTTACGGTCAGAGGGCAGCACCTGCAGAGGGCAATACAATAAAAATCCTTTTTTGAGAATATTTAAGGCATACTTCCGCGCATAAATTTTAGAATTTCGATTGTAGTCAATGGTTGAGTGACTATTATATTTACGAATAGATTTAATATTTGTAAACAATTCTGGTTATGCTTTATACTAGTTAGCTTGTGTAAGTTACAAAGTAAGATCATGAAATTAAAACACACAAGTTAAAAAAAAACACAAAAACTAGATTTAGATGGTATAAATATTTTATTTGTCAGTAACATAAAAAGCATCTTCACCTGAACAAAAAATATAAAAAATAACGAAAACATCGTTTTCTGAATCTTCTAATTGA